AAACATTTCGGCTGTAGAGCCTTCTTCGGGTCTGAGAAAGAGAGGAAAGTCATGCTGAGGCAGCTACCTACTTGAAATAATTTGCGTATATACCTCTTATAAGTACTCTTTAACATCATAAGCCAGTTCTTAATCTTATTACACACATTCCTCTGAATGTTTTCCACCTGTAATGAGAATCAAGTCTTTTAAAAGACGTCTGAAAAAGTTCTCCATAGTGAATGCTTTGTGTGTGTCCATTACTGACCTTGCTTGTTCAAAGAACCCTAACAGCTAATTTCCGATTTCTTGCCTGCATGATTCTTCACTGAATCATTTGTACAGGATTAAAAAAAAAAAAAGATACATTTAATTAAAATTGCTAAATGTATTTCCTGTTACAATAGGAGGCAATCACACAAAGTTTGTTAAAAATAACCGAGTCCTGTTTAATTTATTTGTATGCATATTTCTCTTTTTTCTTACCTGTCCTTTTCATATGCTCTGTCCCTTTAAGAAATCCCTGAAACCCCGAGTGAAAGGTTCTGTCTAGTGCAATCTACAACCCCAGAATGCGTCCTCGTGTAGCAAGTTTAACTTTCCAATCGGAGGTCCCAGACCCAGATTTGTGGATGTGAAGTTTGTCTTCAGAATTGTCTTTTTCCTGTGCAACTTTTGCATTTTCATGATGGATGAGGTTTACCTTCAATGGTTTATTATTCACCGGGCTATCACTGTTTTACCATTGCTTTTACAGGGTTCACCGGGTTAACTCTTTAAACACCTCTTGAGAAGTTACTGATGCAGTCAACTTTATGCAAAAGAGAAACAGTCACATTTATTTTAGTGAAACTAAGAGGCAGGACGAGAGCATTAACCCATCTGCGCACGCGAATTCAAAGGAACGTTATGTAGTTTTATCAACGTTAACATTAATAACTGAGTAGGCAAATAAGGTCAGGAGGATGTTAAAATACATGTAAGGCAATAAATGTTTCATTAAGTTCCCATTACGATGACAGACGTTCATCTAAAAATACATGCATTTGAACTGGCAGATAAATATGAAAAGAAGGACTATTAAAAAGGTCAAATAACTGCCACCACTCAATTTTGAAACCTTTTAACCCACTGATAGAAAATCCTGAGAAAATGCAGAGCCGTGAGAGACACAGGCCAGAAAAGGTCTTGTCAGAAAGCTTTTAAAGCATTAATTGTTACGAACGAAAATTCAATTTAATACCAAATCATGCAATTTTTGTTCAAACTACAAAAACGATGGATGCGCATGCAGGTTTTAAGTCATTAAACAGCCCTGTTCTCTGTTTACTCGACCAAATGTTAAAATGTCACTTGGAAGCCAATGGATGACATTAAAAGAGACATATTCTCATACACATGCTGTCCACAGATATGCCTTCCTGGTGGAAAAGGTAAACTAAACCTTTTCAAGGAATTAAATTCTATTTTCTGAAGTAGTTAGCTAGCAGTATTAACACTGAGCAGAACATTGTAGACAAATCTCTCTGATCTACAGCTTACCTACAGTAATTATTCATCAATTTTGTTATTATGCAGCCTTGCTCCGTAACTAAAGGGTTTGAACGACATCAGTATTCCTAAAATACAATCAGCTCAATTTGCAGTCTCCTGCTTCTGCTTTACCTGCTAGGAGCACACACAGAGAAGCATGCAGGATGTAACACCGATGTACAGTACGCTATAAAATTATACGAATAGTGGAAACATTCTGCACCTTTAATTAAGCTTTTGAGAATCTAAATTGTAACCAATAAAGCTGTTTTAAAACTTCTCCATTTATGATATCATCAAAAGAAAGAAGACAGACAGCAGCCTTACCGCTCTGTAACCTGATCTCATTAGATCTCGGAGGCTGAGCAAGGCTGGGCCCGGCCAGCACTGGTATGGTCGACCAGTCGGATTGCAACATTTTAACCTAAACCTTAACTGACAGGATGCAGCGTGCATCTCTAACTACTTATTAAATTCTAAATATGAGAACTCAGCCTTCTTATATCAGGATTTATTGAGAGCATCCTGTAATACGCCACAAATATAATTAAAAACAGAGCTGTGCTAGCTTATATTTGGTTAGAAATAATTGTGTTCTTTAGCTAATAAGATCTAAAATTACAATGTTTTAATCTTGATTTAATCTAAAGCAGATGATTTGAACCTTTTTAAGAGCTGATTCCAGAATAGTCCATTAAGTCAGGTACCTTCCCCATTCTTGTTGACACCTACGGTAAGCTTGTCTGTGACAGTGACTTGCCAGACTTGCTGTGTGCTACAGTCTGTATTATAAGCTTTGCACTATGGGAAGCACCAGAAATTCCAGCTTCCCCATTCTTAGAACATTTTACATTTTCATCTGTTCAAGGCAAACGATTAAGAAACCAAAAAATAAACTGACCGTGCAATTCCCCTCTTCGTTAATGATCTCATCCTTTTCATTTTTTTTTCTCCCTATCCCTTCGACTACTTACTCTCATCTGTGTTGCCACAGCGTTCAAGGACTGTGGAAATACCCGCCATGTGACATCAGCATTTAGGTCAAAATGAAACGTATTATAACGGAAAATAAACACAGCAGCACTTAAAAATAGGTGAGACCTGAAATACTAAGTAAATGAGTAGAACATTTCTTACAGATCTGAAATACCTATTTATTTATAGGCAGGTCTACAGAATAGTCAATTTAGCAGGACTTGATATGGAAATTATTTTTTTTTTAGACGAACCGAAGTAAACGGAAAAAGAAAATGGGATATTAATATTACATGTTAATAGTATGCTACGGCTTTTTCTATAGAGATAAAAGTCCATCCGGATATTGGATTTTTTTCTTTCCTGTATACCTGGAAAAAAAAAATCAGATAAGGTCTTTGATCTAATTCCACAGCAACACAGACTGGCCCCGTTAATTTTTAATGCCGTTTTTGTCTCCCTTGTGAACACATTTGTCAGGGGCATTCTGTCAGCCTGCTTAGGTGCTGTAAAAGTACATTTGATGAATACACTCAGACCTTTCTCTCTGTGATAAATATAACAGGCATAGCTTCATTTCTCGGGAGGAGGACCACTAGCAACACCGTATGTAGTTATGATGGCCACTTACTTCAGATGAGTTGAAATGTTTTATAATTGACAGTACATGGGAGAACAGCCACCGTGCCCAGTGGCACAGTCTACGGTCATTAGTGAGCAGACGTGCGAGTTCACGTTGTTTCTGCCGAGCCTCAGGGTGGGCCCGAGAAGAAAGGAGGAAAAGCATAAGTCAAAATGGCAAACTGTCAGGAGGACAAATATTAGCCAGACCCTCAGGATCAAGAGACCCTTGCTGCTTAGATAAGAGAGACATCCACAACAAGAAACACTTTAAATTATTTCATCTCCTTTATCGAATGCAGCATTGCTTCCGGCGTAAAGATAACTTCTGGGTTCAAGCGTGTCGATTTTTTTTTTTTGCACAAAACATTAACCAAAAAATTTAAATGTTTTGTGAATGACTTCGCAGAAAGAAGACCTCTATTCGCTCTGGTTTGCGTTGTAGGAGGTACTTCACCTTCTTAACCTGAAGCCAGGCTCATCATTGCAGTAAAATCAGAATGCACTGTATATATTCTGTACTTAGCAGTTGAAGGTTAACACTTTTCTAGTCTCCCCTTCATTAAAAAAAAAACACATCTCGGGTAATTGATCGCTAGTTTCCAAGCAATCCACTCCAGCGTTAGAAAAATTAAGAGGATGAAATAGTTATCGATGCAATACAATTAATAAAAATTCTTCCAAAGCAACCAGTAGGGATTTTGAATGTGCATGTTAAAAAGTCACAAAAAAGTCCGTATAAAATCGCAACACCAAGGTTAGTTACGTGAAACGCTGAGTAACACACAGAAAAACCATTTCCATCAAAGCAAACGAGTATACTGTATTGCCGATGCTGGAAAATTAATCAAAGCGCGACTTACAATATCGCCCGTCTCTCCGCCGATTTTCCCCTCATTTAATGAAAACCATCTGGTTTCCCGGAGACTTACCAATAACCGGCTATTTCGTCCAGACTGCTCCCTTGTTTTTTCACCGTACACTGGTAGCATGGAGTATTAGTGGCCGTGGGGGGGTCACGGGCTGTCACGACTGAGCGTTTTTCACACACGTACAGAGAATATAGGTGTGTATTTCTGTTTGATGCAAAAAATGCCAAGTCAGACGGGGGGGCGGTGGAGCGAGTGTGCTGTGACTGCAGAGGTTCACATCTCCCGGTTACTACATCCAAACCACACCCACCGCATTGCAGAACTAACACACAGAGCACCGCTGGGGTGTCGTGTCAGGTCTGAAGTGACCGAAAGCAGGAGAGTCGCACTGGACATCCGAGGCGGCGACTCGCGTACTTCAGCCACTAAAAATACTGAAGCGAGCAAACGAGCTATAAACCCTTGCCGTTATTAGCTAAAACATCGTCTTCATTTTTTTTTTCCTAACGGATACAAGAAAAACTTTTTCAAGTGCTCCGCATTGAAATAAACTCAGTGACCGGAGTCTCTTTTTTCCGCAAAATGAATTCCCTGCAGCTACTTCACAGCTTCTAAATGTATCAAAGTATCAACCACAGATTTTTCTTCCTGCGGCGACAACCTCGAGTGCACGGATGTATTTAAATAGCCACCGTAGACGTTAACGCAGGCACACAAAAAAAAAACGCACACGCAAACACACACACACACACAATCTGGCACATCTAAAAGGAATCGCACTGATTTGCCCGAAGAGATTTATTTTGTGGGGAGAAAAAAAAAAACAGGACGCGCATACTGTATACAGTATCAGGGCGATGCATGCCCAGGAAATGTACAGTGTGCCCCCTTCCCTACCTCATTCCTGCAAACACAGCTACAAAAATTCTCGTTTTCGCTTTGACACTTTCGATGCAACACAACGTGAGCCCGCAGATCCCCCTTTTTTTTTTTGCATACGATAAGTTGCTAGCTTTTTACCGGGTATCCCGTGTCCCCCCGCTCGGCTGATGAGGCTGCAGCTCAGTCCGCTCTCTGCTCGCCAGCTGTGTCACCGCCAGCGCCAGCGGGCTGAGCAGGAGATACGGGACAGCGCGGCATTCTGGGATACACGAGGACAGCCAGCGCACCCTCCGCTTATTCTAGCAGAAGATGCGGGAGCGAATGAGAGCCCACCTCCGGGATGAGTCACGGCCGGTACGGGCGACCCACACGCGTGTTGCAGGACCTAGCGGGGCGAGGGATGGCCACCGAAGTCACCCCAAAACGAACACGGCGCCGAAGCAAAGCAAACCCCGTTCGACTGAAAATACACGTAGACGGTCTCGAGTGGAACTTGGGATGCCCACTTCTCCCGAGCAGAATTATCTTGCTGGGCCAAATAAGCAGTTTAACTCGGGTTTTTTTTTTTTGGTGAAATTTCCGAGAACTGAACGTCTGAAATTGGACATGATCTTCTTTCAAAAATAAAGATGTTCTTGAACAGATTTTCGGAGTCAGTTTTTGTAATTCAGGGCAGCAAAGGTATAAACGTTTGAATTTAAATTCGCTTAATAAGCTTTAACAGCTTTTGAAAAAAGTGTCCCTGGGTCAGTTTCCTGCACTGTGTTCCTGGCCACGATGGGTTAAAAGGACATATGTTATTTTAACAGCACCCGCCAGCTGCAGTGTTCATTCATGTATAATTAAACTCTTGTAACTAATTGCACACATTTAGTCTTCACAAATTCTAAATGAACCCTGGCAAAGGCAAAGAGCTGCTTAACTGACAAAAATTCCTTTCTGGGTTCTGAGTCTTGACGAACCATACCATGTATTCAGTATCGCAGCATACAGTACATTCTACTTGCATTTTTTCCATTATCCTGCATGCATTACATTGTATTCAATTTATAAATAATTAGGCATCATTAAGAATTCATTAAATATAATGTGAGATTTTTTTGTGTGTATAACAGGGTTCATAGAGTACAGGGGGCCTGTTACAGTGAAATTATGTGAACACCATGACTGCGACATCACTATGACAGCCTCATCTTACACAGCAGGACCTGTCAAACTCGCTCTCGCCAAAACCCGCAGCAAGCTTAGAAACTGATAGGCTCTTGCCTATCCACAGGTCCAAGGCATGGCATTAATGTAGTGTGTGGGGTTGAATCCCAAATCCTAGCTGCTGTCTCACGTACTTTCAAGTGCCTGACCTACACAGCCAAGATAAATGCTACATCCAGTACCAAAAGGCCTACACCCCTACAGTGGAGATCATTCAAATACTCGAGAAAGCTAGGGAATGACATGAAAGTGACACCCTCGTCTTCCACTGCAGCACCTGCTACAGTCACACAGTGTGGACAGGCCATCATGAGGACAAGATGACCAAATCCCAGTCCGAAAGCCAGCAGTCCATTCCAGGTAGAACACGTCTTTATGGCCCCGTCTTGAGAAGCACATGTACTGTGATATTTTATGCATCGAGTGCTCAAGCACACCACACAACCACACCTGCTGAGGTACCATCTTCCAGAACCATGACCATGGCGATAGGGGTTAGAAGGCACCTGAGAACTTTTATTTACTGGTGAGACATTACAGGTGCTACACAAGCTGCCAGCTGTGGTCCAGATCACACACGCCACACGACGACAGATTGCTATGCTTTTTCAGACCTGGTGTTCGCTACTGTGACCCTCAACAAGAGGGTAACTTCAAGGTTAAGTCTGAGCATGTGTTGGAGGCAAAATAAAATGCACTTCAATATATACTGTACAGTAAGTCATTCACAGCCATCTTGCCTTCCCAGCAAAGCTTTTACAGTGATATTGGGTGGATGGTGTTCATCAAGAAAGCCTGCATTATGGACTTCAGTGTTGCACTCAGTGCTGGTATCCTTCTTACTCTTGTGCGGTCACTTAAAACCAGTAATTACTCCCTATGCAAGTACAAATCATGTTCTGTAGCACTCTGTAAACTACAGTGCAAAACAGAAATATCCTTAAATGACTTTTTAAGGAAGAAAAAAAGTTGCTCTTGAAGGTTTCTATGTTAAAGCATTATAAGAAAGACTTGTGTATCTCCTAAACTAAATATTTTTTTTTAATCCAAGGGGAAGTATGGGTAATTTAATAGCAAGAAAAATGCACACATTATCTCTATGGATAACACCATATACTTCTGGATTCAAACCACATTCTTAGGCGGACCTCTGAGGTCCTGACCCACACAGCCCAGACAAGTGCCATTGTATTACAATAAAATACTGCTCCTCTCCTTCAGGGGGCTGGAACATTCTGGAGGAAGCAGAAGACTGAAATCACCACGATAATTTTATTTTACACCAGAAACTCTGCAACACACTGCTATTCTGAAATCAGTCCAGAGGAGTGATGCCCGATACAGTACATGTACATTTCTGATCACAAAAGAATGTCTTCCTCGGGCTATAAGAACTGAACCTTTTTAGTCTTGAACAAAGATCACAAGGGGTCCAATTCAAGTACTGAAAATGATTAAAGTAATTGAAGTCGATGACAAAGTCAACCAGCTGGACATCTTCAGAATCAACACTGAATCATGAACCGGGGGCGAAAAGTGACAACTGAAGGGAAGTGCGTTTACAACAGAACAGGGGCACTTTTCCTTACACAGGGGTGTAAGCTATAAAGATCCATGCTCAGTTTAAGATGCACGTTAAGCAATCTGAAAAACTGCTATAGGTTTACCAAACTTGCTTGTTTTGCCCCCCCCATCATACTCTTTAGATCAGTTCACACCCATTCCATACCAGAAAAGTGCCTATCCCTTGGTAAGGAAAAATAAAACAAGCTGCCCAGCAGAAACACCATGGTGTCTGGAGGAGGGGAACTTCTCAGAGCTGGCATAAGGCAGGACTGCTCCAGGACAGAGCACCAGCCCACAGCAGGGCAAACTTGCGTGTGCACAGGGAAAGTGTAGAGACAACACTTACAGTAAGGCAGCATGTTTTAGGAAAGAGCAAAGAAACCAGAGCACCTAAAAAAAAATAAAAATCACACAGGCACGTGGAAAACGCAGTACAGATAGTGCCCTGGTCTGGAATCAAATCTAGGACAAATAACTCACTCTGGAAATAAAGTGACTTTGAAAATGACTAATACACAGCTTTCAGGGGTAGTCAGATCATTTCAATAGCTGCCCACATTGGAATCATCTAGGGAAAATGATCATTAAAATTCTTATTGAGTGTTTATTTAAGTCATGCAGAAAAAGTGTAATGAAGCTTCATGTTTTTAAACGATTCAAAACCAGCACCAACGAAACAAGCCGTTACTGCCACAATGTAGCAAATGTCACTGGGATCCTGAAGTGAAGAAATGAAATGGAGGACGTTAATTGATTTTCTTTTTTAATTTCTCAAAAAAACAGAAAAACATTAAAATATTTGGTTTGGAGCTCAAAGAGCTGACCTGCTCTTTCAGATGTTAAAGCTATGAGTCAGCTGCTGCGGTCCCTAAAAAGACCCACAAAAAAATCACCACATTACAAATCGAGGTCTTAGCAAAATCCATCTGGTTTGGAAGGTCCCAACATTCTTAATGCTTGGAGCATACTTCAGTATAAGAGATTCATTTGCTCTAAGTTGGTGCAATTCAGAAAAGTAGGTTTGTTCCTCTCATAGGCAATTACAGTAAGATGGTGACAACGTGACAATTTCGGCACTAGTATCATTTATGCCATATTAAAAACATTCTCTACAAATTAGGGGAAAGGCTGGAAAACATTTGTTTAAAAGTTGTCAAAATAAGGGTTAAAAAATGTGTTAACATAAAATGTTCAATTGTTTTTCGAACAGCTATATTCCCCTTGCACTTCCCGGTTGGCGGCCCCCGGGGGTTCGGCGGTTTTGGGCTTGTTCGTTCCTTGGGGGGGGGCCTTCTTGGGAGAAACTAAGGCTGCTGCTTGAAGAGGTGTTACTGTAAAAAGGTACCGTCCTTCGGATGAGATTTAAAACCGAGGTCCTGACTCTCCGTGGTCATTGAAAACCAGGACATTTCTCAAAAAGATTAGGGGTGTTACCCCCCTGTCCAGCCCAAATTGCCCCCCAGCCTATACCAATCATGCCCTCCTAATAATCCCCTTTGATCAATAAACTTCATCACTCTGTTCTCCTCCCCACCGAGAGCTGGTGTGTGATGAGTGTACTGGTGCACTTTGACTGCCGTCACATCTTCCAGGTGGTGGAGGAGAGTCCTCATTATCTGTAAAGCGATTTTGAGGGGATTATCCAGAAAAGTGTAAAAAATCAAATTGTAAGGATCATTTTGACTATTATTATACAACTGTACATATCAGAAAACATATTTTCGTACCAGTTTTCTAATTTTACCAGCTTGTGTACATTTGTAGGATTTGCATCCATTTACACCCTTTCTTATAAGAAAAAGAACACATCTGAGTGAATTTCGCAATGTTTAGCACGGAAAGCAAGGCAGACAAAAAATAATCAATGGAAGAAAAGGAAAATCAAAAGTTAATTCAGAATTAGTATACAACTGCAACCTTAAGTGTTCTCAAAAGTACTTTAAAAACTAACAACTATGTATAGCTGTCAAATGCTATATTGAAAAATGAGCATATGAGTAACATTTTCCCCACTGTCAGCATTAGTATCACCATGTACTGGAGATGTTTCAACTTTAGGAAGGCACTGCACATCCTTTGGATGAAAAAGGGTGATATCAGTCTGCTCTCATTATCTATGTGAATATGACACACAGAGGTCCATTTGTCTGCATAAGAAATTTGTTTGCTTCAGTTGACAGAATTTATAAGCACCCCATATGTTTTTTTTTTAATTTTCTTTGGAGCAGACTTAATGATCCAGAGGTCGTCTACCACGCTTTTCAAGTGTCACCAGACAGTCCTCTTTAGAGACATTAAGACTGTCTGAGCAGCACAAAGGCTGTCATCAAGCACTTGTGCGATCAGAAAGGATCAATGAGAACAAACTGCCATGACCGACGAAACAACAGAAATGAAACCTTCACAGTATTTTACAAAAGTTTTACAACACCACAAAGTATACACAATACAGCATATAATACAATGTTCTACTGAAACACACGTTAACACACATGGATTGTATATTTAAAGCTTTATCAGACTAATAAATGACTGAAATCTGATACTTATTTTATCTATACTTGTAATTCTAATGTATTTAAATAGTATACAATATTTGTTTCAAAATAAATACAGATAAAATAGTCAACTATACAGTATAGGTATCACTTGCTATTAAGAATACTGTACCTTAATTAGACGGATGCTGTTTTAACATAAAATTAAGACGGCGTCTGGAGTACCATTACGCTTTGATATTGTAATGACTGTAAGGCCTTTGTGCACATCTAAAAGCTGACTT